TCTCGGCTCACCGCAACTTCTACCTCCCAGGTTCAAGTGATTCTCCTGCCTCAGCCTCCCGAGTAGCTGGGATTACACATGCCCACCACCAAGCCTAGCTAATTTTTTTGTATTTTTAGTAGAGGGGGGTTTCACCATGTTGGCCAGGCTGGTCTTGAACTGCTGACCTAAGGTGATCCACCCGACTCAGCCTCTCAAAGTGCTAGGATTACAGGCCTGAGCCACTGTGCCTGGCCTCAGACAAATTTCTTAAATCTGTATTGAGATTCAAAACAGATTTTTAAAAAATTGGCCAGGCACGGTGGTTCATGTCTGTAACACAGCACTTTGGGGGGCCAAAAGGGACAGATCACCTGAGCTCAGGAATTTGAGACCAGCCTTACCAATGTGGCTAAACCCTGTCTCTACTAAATAGTCAAAAATTAGCCAGGTATGGTGGTGCATGCCTGTAATCCCAGCTACTCAGGAGGCTGAGGCATGAGAATTGCTTAAACCCAGGAGGCGGAGGTTGCAGTGAGCTGAGATTACACCACTGCATTCCAGCCTGGGCAAAAGAATGAGACTCTGTCCCAAAAACAAAAATCATAATGTTAAAGTTTACCAAAATGTACTGGAAAGACAAATTCTGGATTACAAAAAAATAGAGTCTGAGATTTTAAAATTATACTAATATGAAAAATTCTGGAGATGAATCATAATGAGGGTTGCAAAACAATGTGAATGTACTAAATGCCATTGAACTGCACACTTAAAATCGCTAAAATGGTAAATTTCATGTTACCGATATTTTACCACATACACACACACACAAAGAATCCACAACAATAGCAGGGAGAAAAAGGTAGCATAAAGGTTCCCTTTATTCTACTTGTATGATAATGGGTGCTAAATGAAGGAATGGAACCTAAACCTTGATTCTGATTGCATGTATATGAATCTGAGTTTGTCTAAAAGGCTGAAAAATTCTTATTTAGATCCTTAGCTACTCAGAGATTATGTATTAAGAAAAGTTAACAACTAAAGTGAAATGTGATGGCATTTGTTCAAGAAAATTGTACATTCAATAACTGAAATATTAAGTATTTACCATCAATTAAATTAGAAATTATAATTCCTGTTCCTCAATCCCAGTCAAGTGACTAATATCTGGGTCAGAGAACTTCCTTTTTACCTGATAATCCCGAGGTATAAAGTTATCAATAATAAGCATCTGAAGTCGAAGCTCCCGGCTAAGTTGCCGAATGTTCTCCAGTAGGCCCTCAATTTCCCTCTGATGTTCTTGTTGGAGATCAGCCATCTACCAGAAAATCCATAAGAAGATTATGAACAAACAAGACTTTTAACTACAAAACAGCTCCATCTCACATAGGACACTACTCTAAGAGGCCTTGTGAGAGCTTACCTAGTTCTTTTATAAAAACGATAAACAGTGTGACACTATCAGCACCTATTCTACACTATTTGTTAAGGTTGGAAAGAACAATTTAGCCTAACAGATTAAAATTAAAAATTGCACATAAAGGAGAAATATCTTATTTCTTTTAAATTATAAGTTCAGACTATGATTACTTCTGAATTCTTAATCAAAGAACTCCTTTTTAAAAAATTCAGAACCACATTCATTAGTAGATAATTTCTAAAAGACCCAACCTCTGACTTTGCAGCCATCAGCATAGTCCACACTTTCTTTAATTTCTTGGTCTTCCCCTGTGCTTCCTCTTGCAAACTGGTATATTTTTCTTCAATATCCAAACGTTCTTGCTATGAAAAAAATTAGTAAACTTCAGAATAATTTTATCTGTAAAATCAAATATCTAATTCTTTAACAAATGATATAAATGATTGGTAACTCTTATCCTTCAAAGCAATCCATAAATATGTTTTAAAATTTCAGTACAATGATAGATAGCTTTCCACTAGAAAAGTTAGATCTCTCAGGCAAAATATCAAACTAAAAACAGAAAGTCACATTACCTCTTTTTCCTCAAGTTCTCTGCGAAGTTGCTCTGCTCTTTTCCTCCTTTCTTCCAGTTCCATGTTAGATTCTTCAAGAAGTTTCTCTTGTTCCTCAGCTTTGGCCAACAAATCAACCCCACCAACAATTACCTTCTTTTCCAGGGCAGACAATTTTTCCAGCAAAGACTGATGTTCTTGTCTATTGATTAGAATGAGAATACTTTATATTCACTGACCATCTATTATTCTACTAATATCATTTCCCAAAATTTAACAAAAATTTGGATATACAATTTCAAAATAGAAATATAATTATGTAACATCGCTACCAAATTATACTGCAGTGTAGTATCAATTTCTAATTTAATCTATAACTCATTCTAATTCATGAATATGTTTTCCCATCACATGGAAATAATCAAGACAGATCTAGTTTTTAGAAATACACTATATACAATGGACCCTTTATTGAAAAATAGCTACACTGGAGACAAAAATCAAGCTTTTAATTACTATTCAATTTTCCTATTTATATGTCCTATGAAAAAACAGAAATTTAAATCACGAATTCATCTCAATGCAGTAATACTCACTGGGCTTTAAGAAGATCTTTTTCCCGTTTCTCTAATTCAGCTCTAGCCTTGTTTCTTTCTTCTTCTTCCATGTCAAGCTTTGTTTCAAGTGCTTTTCTCTCCTCGTCAATTTTTGCTTGCATTTCAATCATCTTATCTGGGGAGACTTTCTTTTTACCTATTTGAATCATTTAATTGCAGCAAATCACTAAAATGAGTCAATGGTTCAGACTTACATAAATTACCTTCTTCAATATAGAAATACCTACACTCCTCAATAATACAAAAACAATTATCAATATTATAAGGAAATCAAACCAATAATATCATGCATTTCCATTTATTATGTTCCTAGAACTTTTTAACTCATTGCTAAATTCAAACTGTTGTCCAACTGTGCAATGTTAACTAAGAACAAAAGTGAAAGAAAAGCAAAACAGATGAGCTAAAAAAATAGAAAAGGAAAAATTAACAGGAAAGCCAAATTAAAAAAAAATTTATGTCCCCGGATAACAAATATAGGTTAAAAAAACGCAACATGATTCTTCAGTTACTTTTTCCCAATAACCAAGTTTAAAATTGAGCAACTCCTTAAAATACCCTCCCCAAGTTCACATAAATGCATATAAGTCATATATAGGTATAAAATGCACAGATAAAAATAACAGGCAGAATTTATATCAAGTAGTTTTAATACATTTTTCAGAGTTTTTTCTAAAATTTTTGTTTAATAACATAAGTATTTTATTTCACAGCATACATTTAAAGGAAAAAATTATATACTATGTAATTATGTAACAGTTACACGCATGGTAATTAACCAAGCATTTCACAGTTGCTGAGCTGTCATGATCTATCATCATACACTAAAGAAATAACTAAAATAGCTTGTTATTATGTCAAACTCAGGACCTGAAGGCTCCCTAAGTCAGAGCAAACATGCCAATTGTCAAATATAGGTAGAAATACTACCGAATAATAAAGCTGGAATATGGCTTCCAATTATTTTGCTAATAATGTCTAATAAAGTATTTTATATACATATAATAGGTGCTCAATGAAAGTTTATTAATGAATTTCAAAATTACAAAATCCAAATGAAAGAAAAAAGAGAAAATAAAACTAGCTTATTAAACTTGTTATTAAACTGAATCAAAGACAATTCATTTCTGGTTATACAGTTTCTTAGAAACATGCATTCCTTCAGAAAACTAATAAAACTTTTCATAGAATTGGTCTGAGTCTCTCCTGGAAGCTTCCTGTCATTTTTAACTTCCTTCCCAAAGAACTACAGAAGAAGAGTGTAAATCATAAGAGTTTACAAATTGTTATTATCTCCACCCAAAAGCTAACCCCCTACCACCTAACAAGGAAAAAGAACTGAAAAATAATTATGATGGAGATATATAACTGAGTATATTCTTTCAGGAACCATGAGATGAAGAATCCTTAATAGACTTTAACTCTTTAGAACAAAATTATGTAAAAAACTCAAGGGTTTAAAATACATCATTTCTATAGAACTCTAAGTCCAAAGCAAACCTAAGACATGAGACAAATGAAATAAAAGAGTAAACAAAAGCACTGATCCAAATTCATGCTTTGGTGTGGTGTGATTCATTGCATTCCAAAAGTCAGGAGGTAAACTGATTTTATTGGCTTGTTTGGCACAGTCATCTGTATTGAATCTTTTGAATTAGCTGTTAAAAAATAACTTAAAAAGAATTTAACTCCTATTCTCAAAGTACTTCCCATCAGTTATACTGTCTTAGAAATTTGAAGGAGAAAAGTATCATTTCAAGTATATAGTAAGTATATGCATTTTAAAAAGTTAACTTCCTTTCCACTCAGAATTACAAATATTTAAAGACAAAATGGGAAATATGTTAAGACAAAAATAATAAATGCATGAAGACACTGATGCTAATAGTATAGAGGAAATGATCTAATCAACATACGAACAGTAATATGTACAAGCTTTGAGGGTTCTAATTGTTTTGTTAACAGTTAAAAACAGTTTCAAAACCCATTAAGAGGTAGTAAAATAAAAAGATTTTCTTAATAAAAGATTTTATATGTAGAAATACAAAGACACATAACTGTTGATGAATTAATACATTACATTAGTAATTGAAAACCATTCTGGGATGTTTCCAAACGGATACTTCAGCAGCAAAAGCCTTACCATGCTCTTGTAACACTTTCATGAAGACGATCAAAGATACATAGCCAGGGTTGGTTTCAAAAGCCTAATATTTAGTTAAGATACTACTTTAGCGAGAATCACTCTGACAAATCATTATATTTCTTCCAAAATAGTATTTTAAGCTAAATGTGAATATGTGCTAACTCTCCTAATCAGGCATTTAAAAATGTGACATCACTAACAGTCACTTTTACTGTATTTTTTAAAAGACTTTTTTTTAAAAAAAGTCTTACTAGACAAATCAATCAAACAAAAACGAAATCTTTTTCTAATAATGCATGATAAAATCCGGCACAAAATTTAAGGCAAATAAATATTTTTAAAAGTTAATGCCATAAGAGTATTTAATTAAGCCAGATATAACCAGTAACATTTTTATTGCCCTTCCTCATGTGCTCTAACCAATACTGTGAAGGTGAGCTGGCCAGGGTAAGTTAAAGGGGAAGAACTTTAGGACAGACCTAATTGAATTAATTTCATTTTTATTATATAAGCACCCACAGCATAGGTAACCAGGCATTCAATTCTTGGCTTTTTTTAAAAAAAGGAGAAAAATGTTTGAATGTGAAGTAGTTTTACAGTTGTATTTCCAAAATTTGGACTAAGGGGTCTTTAAGAATTTAGAAAAAAAAAATAAGTTTTTTTTAAAAACTGAAGTTGAAAGATTTTTAAAAATACAAAAGATAGATACTTACCTGGTAAAAAAAATTATTAATTTTTTAAAATTTAATATATTTAAATGAAGTTATTTATAGGATAAATAGTTATACCATGTGGAGTGCAAATCAATCACACCAACCTGTTTGATCTTGCAATAAGAAGTAGTAAGCAAATCGCAGACAGGAAGCATATGCACAGAGATGAGGAGGAAAAAAGGAAAACATTATTTCTTTGGTAAAACAAAGAAAAATATATAATAGCATTCATTTAAGTGTAGAAGTGAATCAAATCATTATCAAAACTGAAATAGAGCCCATTTAAAAAGAAAGCATATTTAACACAATGAGAAATGTAATTTAAGCAAGAAAAATAAAATTAACTTAGTCTTAGATTATAACTCAAGTCAATCTCAGGAGCTCACACTGATTCCCCAAGTCCTGCAAAGGTCACAGTTCAACATCATGTAGTTATGCTAACAGTAGACATGAAATTAGGAACCTGCTAAGACCTGGGAAGTAATCTAAAAGGGCAGAACAGAAAATTAAGACAATTTTAACAACTAGTAAGTTTAAAGTGACAAAATTCACACTGTCCCTAGCAAAAACATCCCAATTCAATATTTCTTTTAGTATATGGATCTATTATAGGCATGCCTCACTTTAAGAAAATCTAACACAAAAACCTGAACCAAACAGACAAATTATAGTAATTTCCACTGCTTATTTGATTAACAGGAAAGTCTAATGAAGAATTTTTAAAGACAGCAAGTTCTTTCAATATATCTGATTTCCCAACTGGATTTATGGGCTTTTTTTTCTCTTTTCAGAAAAAAAGAATTATTACATAAAATGAAGTACACCTGTATAATAACAAACTTACATTCCTTCTATTAGCAGATGGTTAAGGGTAATTATAACAATGATTCTATGTAAGTCAGTGCCAATTGATGATTCAAGCAAGAAACACCTTTAAAAAAGGCTATTCAGATTTTTAAAAGGGAGGGTACATACAAGTTACACACAGCTAACCACATGCTGGGACAACCACCTCCCTCTCCACTGCACCAACACACCCTCATTACAACAAAAAACATTATGTACTAGGTATGCTAACAGGAATTAAAACTTCTTGAACTGAACAAAGTACAACTCATTTCATAACATACTTTCATATAACTATTCTTTAAGTTTTAAAACAGAAAATTAAATTGCAATGCCTCCCACTCAAATATTTTCTCGTATTTCACACTTTATTATACAAAGTAATATCTCTATGTGGTTTCTAATGCAATTTCAAGCATTTTACAAATTATCCCTCGAAATGAATTGTTTTGGTAACTTGCCTAGAAATTGTCAATAAAGAAAAAGATTTCTAATATTCTTGGAATTATTCTAGAAAGCTAAAAGCGTAAGAACAATAAGCAATTATCTTTGTCATTAGTTTTGGAACGGTAAGTATATAGATAATGCTTTAAAAGACAGTAAGCTGCAGGCTGGTACAAGAAAACAACACTACTCCCCTTTCTTCTGAAAACAAAATGGATAACACTTTTCAATTTGATTAAATTAGGTTTTAACAAAAGTGTTTAAGTTTGAAATAAGTCTAGATGGATCCTGCATAATCTTCTCATGATCCTGCATTCTCTAATCATACCTTAGAAAATTTCTTACTATCAGGTAATTTAGAAATATGGGTAAATGTCCATTTGAAATAAAACAGTATTCAATTCATCTTTACTTGCTTCAAGCTTCACGTTTTTCTTTATTTTGGAGCCTTTAAGCTACCACTAAGATTAGGACACCAAAGTGTAAAATATTTATAACTGTACGACATGTTATAATGGGCATTGGTGTACTTCCAAATATAATTTGTACTTTTAGAAATTTAAGATCTAATGTCACGTGTCCCTTGTACTGAGCAGAATTAGAAATGTATCATGAAACCTAAAAAAGAACCATAAGAATTATTCTTTTATACAGCTTACTAGCTCTCTTTACATTATCTCAATTGCAAAAGCATGAATCTCTCTTCCATTGTCTCAAACATAAGCTAAAGCGTATGTTTTAACAATTATGATTAACTGGAAGCAATGAAAGGGGGTGAAGGAATCATCACATGCTTTGTTCTACTGAGGAATCCAACATGTATTCTGTAGGTAATGACAGGGAGCGGTGCAGCATTGCTCAAATGAAGCCCATGTGTTATGGAAAAGCCAAAGCTCTGTTAGAGAACGTAAGAGCTACCACTCACTAGGCAAGAACTTATCCAGAGGTTTCTCTATGACAGAACATGTGGAGTCTGAACTACTGCTGCTGCTACTGCCTGGAAAACAAAGAAATGAGCCCAACGGGAACCAAAGAAAGAGGGAACAAGAAAATGAACACATACACAGAGAAAAATTCAGTTCCAGAGAAAAAAATTTAAAGGACAATCAAGCTTTGTATTAAAGACCAAAATTTACTTTCCTTAAAAACAAGCCTTGGTAGTTTATTCAATATTCTCTACTTTATAAAGCCATAGAGAGGAATTAGAAAGTATACTGCTTTAAGCAACTACTGAGGGCAAATCCTACTAGTCACCTAAAGCCTAATCATTTAGAGGTTTGAAATGATAAGAATAAAAAATAAATAAGTCGTTTGGTGACATTTTAGTCTATTAAAACTATTTAGGTTGATAAGTTAAAGGAATGGAGTTTTAAAACTTAAATCCATACACAATAAATATTATAGGAATGATAAATTACCCTTCATTATAAACAGGTTACTCTGTCTCCACTTTTGGTCTCTTTCCCCCAAAATATCAAACTATCAAATGTGTTTAAGGTTTGACAGCAAAACTTTCATTCAAAAGGCTCACTGAAAATTTTTAAATTTCTAAGCCTAGAAGAAAGATATATTACCATTAAATATTTCAACATATTAAACAGTGGTATTTTTCTATTTAAAATTTTATTTTTTTAACAAATCTGTTACCTGCTTTAGCTTTGAAAAGAATAATCTACTCTGTGAAAAACTAGGTGTGAGCAAAAAAAAAATTTCTCTAAATCTTCTGCAAAAGGACAGACAAGTGTTTGAGACTTTGTAGGCCACGTGGCTTCATGTGAAAGCAGCCATATATGTAAACAAATGAGCATGGCTGTTTTAATAAAATTTTATTTACAAAAACAGGTGGTGAGCTGGATTTAGCCAGCAAACATTTTGACAATTCTTGCTCTAAATCATTATTTTCCTGTCTTTTGAAGTTACAAAATCTTTATAGTTTTTAAATTTGGGACTCCTAATCAGGCAGTGATGGGTTTATTTTCAGCACGATCATTTTAATAAGACAAGCAAAATATGCAACAGCTTGAAAACAATGACCACATTAATGGAAGAGAGTTCTGAAATAAATATTTATGGTAAAAAGGTTTGAAATGTAGGCCATTATAATATGTCCATTTTATTTGCATATTATCTGAATTCTAATCACAACAGTCTTAATTCACACTTGGCAACAAATGCCCCACAACAGGGTGAGAATGAGAATACATTTTATAAAGAAAAAGAATTAAATTTAAAAATGGAATTCCTCATACAAATTTACTATTTAAAAATTAGTGACTTTTAAGGACTAATCCTGTTTGTGGAAAAACTCCACACTATCCTAATTTCCTTAAAAAACTTAGATTCCTGACACAGATGTAAGGCCCTACGTAAAATTAAAACCCACATGAAATTTTAAAATGGCATACCCACTATTATAGTCTTACAATTCTAAATTCTAAAAAAACAGAACATGTATTCAAAGTCAGCTATAAACAGATCAATACAGGAGAAAAAATGCAAAGTTAACCAGGTAAATGGCATACATCTTCTGTTCTAATTGTTATAACAACGAGATAATTGCTATCTAATATATTAAACAAATAGATATCGGCAAAATAAAAGTCATGCACTCTACCACCTTGTGAAACCACCTAGTTGATTTCTGCAAATCAGAATACTAAACAGAACTTACCCCTTCTTTTTTTCCTTTTCTCTCCATCTTCTCCAACCTCACCCTCTTCATCATCATCTTCCTCTGACCCACTGATATCAGAGCCTGATATTTCTTCTCCTTGGACAGAAATTTAATACAATGTTTTTTTATCCAGTACCAAGTCATTGGCTATTTAGGAAATACCTACAACAACTTTCTTCCTTAGGTTTTTGTTACTGCAAACAACAATTTAAATACTATTTAAATTCTCCTAGAGAGTATATCAGATAGGCTAATCTCAGACATAAAGATGTACAAAAAGACTTTATTTTAAAGTCTCTAAAGAGAACTTAAATTTTGACCCACTTAAAACTTCAAATCATTCTGGCTGGCCAAGGTGGTGCATGCCTGTAATCCCAGCACTTTGGGAGGCTGAGGCAGGCAGATCACTTGAGGTCAGGAGTTAGAGATGACCAGCCTGGCCAACATGAGGAAACCCCATCTCTACTAAAAATACAAAAATTAGCTGGGTGTGGTGGTACAAACTTGTAATTCTAGCTACTCGGGAGGCTGAGGCAGGAGAATCCCTTGAACCCAGGAGGCAGAGGTTGCAGTGAGCCGAGATTGCACCACTGCTCTCCAGCCTTGGCAATACAGCAAGACTCTGTCTCCAAAAAATGTATAGATAGATAGATATTATCC